GGGGTGGGAGGGAGGGTGGACGGGAGGAGGGAGGATTCCCCTGGCATCACCTGTTCTAGGTTCTTCTCCACCGCCGCCCCCCCCCCCCCCCCCCCCCCCAGCCCCTCACCTGACCCTCCCGCCGCCTTCCCCTGGGTCTGGGCAGTTCTCTTTTTAATATTGAATTGGTAAGGCCACGTCTTAGGGCTAGTCAGAAGAGACTCTTGTCTAAGAAGAAGGGAAAAAAAAAGCAACATCCCAGCTAAGCGTCCATATGGTCTGGTTCCTGTCCACGCGTGTCGCCCCCGCTGGGGCCGCCTCGCTTCGCCTCTCTCCCCCCCCAGAAGTCACATCCAGTGTCACCTGTATGAGCAGCCTGCCAAGCCCCACCCACCCCTCTGGTGAAGTGGTCTTGTGTGTGTGTGTGTGTGTGTGTGTGTGTGTGTGTGTGTGTGTGTGTGGCACAGAAGGCCTCAGTGGCAGAGCCAGGCAGGGTGTGATTTTTTTAAAAATGTTTTTATCACTCGTGGGGCTTGAACTCTGGGCCTGGACACTGTCCCTCAGCTCTTCAGCTCTAGGCGAGTGCACTACCACTTGAGCCACAGCACCAACTCTGGTTTTCTGGTGGTTCATTGGAGATAAGAGTCTCACCAACGTTCGTGCCCGGGCTGGTTTTGAACCACGATCCTCAGATCTCAGCCTCCTGAGTAGCTAGGAGGTTTAGATATTTTTAAAAATATTTACAAATGAAAACTCCCAAGTGAAATGTGAAGGAATATGAGTTGTATTTAAGGTCGTCTTTCAGAAATTATGTTAATAAAAGATGATCTGTTGATACTATAATAATCACAGAGCTTTCATTTTCCTTTCTTAAAATTGCTACTCAGGAGATGAGGTGTTAGTTGATATCCAAGACTTCAGTTGTATATGTAAATGTGATCATATACCAGAACAGAGGCTTTATATGTAGCTGACAGTTATGCTAAGAAGAATAACAGAACAGGTTAGCAGTAATGCTTACGGTATCTCTTAAGAGTCCTTGGCATGCAGTAGGTGCTTACTAAAAGTATAGATGTCATCCATTGTGGGCAGAGGCCACAAGTGAGTGGGATTCTACCCCTGAGTTGATTCTGAGGACAGAGCATCATTGTTCCACACGAACAGGAAAGTGTTAACCCACTCAGCATGGAAGCCATTGGACGCCCATCTGAGCCACCCATCAGAAGGAGCTTTAGAACAATGCTATTCCCCAGACTACCTAGGAGGTATCTGCTTCCGAGCCCATCCCTAAGTTAGCTTCATCTAGTAAGAGCCGACCACAAACGATTCCACCTTTAAGAACAACAGTAACAATTGAGTTTTGCTGTTCATCTTCTGCTAGCAAACACCTAGTTATATCATTAGTGGCTAAGCAATTTCAAGCCTTAAAGCATTTTTTTTCCTTTTCTTTTTCTTTTAAAGTCGCCTGATGGCATTGAAGCGAATGGGAATTGTAAGAGACTATGAGGTATGCTAAACCAAAGTTTCCGAAGACCTTCTCAGTAAATGAAGATAATTTTTGTTGGCGGATTAAATGAAGAGCTAACACACACACACACACACAATTCTGCTTTTCCCTAGAAAATCCGCACCTTTGCTGTAGCAATAGTAGGTGTTGGCGGCGTTGGTAGCGTGACTGCTGAAATGCTGACAAGGTGTGGCATTGGTAAGGTAAAAATACTGCTTTTTTTTCCCCCTCTCATCTAGGGTATGTCTCCCTCCAGGAGCAAATCAGGTACAAATTAGGACACCCCCCCCCAACTCCCCAATCAATAGTCTGTTGATTTGTGATGTATTTATTCAGAGGGTTCTTTTTAACCTAAAGGGTTGAGGCAGACCCCTGTCCAAATACAAGCTGACATACTTGCTCATAACCCAAAGACCATTCGAACTGTGTTTGAGAATTTCTGTTCATTTGGCATACAATAGGTCTAGAACCTAGGAGAGAAGGCTGTAGAATCTGATGGGAGTGAAACACTAAAGCACCTAATGTTTCATTGAACATGTAAACATGCTAGAAAACGTACTTTCCTTGTTGTTGAACTTGAGCTAGAGAAAGCTCTAGATTTGGGGGATAGGGGTGATGGAGGTAGAACCCCAGGGCCTGTGCGTGGTAGGAAGGTGCTCTACCACAGAGTTATACCCTCATTTCCACAATATATACATATGTAAGTTTTTTTCTTTTTTAACTTTTAAGACTTGATTTGTATTTTCAGTAGGAAGAAGTAACCTATATTGGAGTTCAGTGCAATGTTAAGATTTATAAAGATGAGGCTCATGACCTTAGATACACAATTATATGCCTTTATCATCTTGATAGAGCAAATATTCTTCCACACACACGCGCAGGTCCTGGGGCTTGAACTCAGGGCCTGGGTATTATTGTCTCTAAGCTTTTTTGCTCAGGGTTAGTGCTTTACCACTTGAGCCAAAAATCCACTTTTGGCTTGGTGCTTAATTGGAGATAAGTCTCACAGACTTTACTGCCCAGGGTGGCCTTGAATCGTGACCTTCAGATCTCAGCCTCCTGAGTAGCTAGGATTACAGGCGTGGGTCACTTGCAGCTGGCTCTCTAATAATTTTTGGCTTCAGGCCACAGTCCTTAGATCTCAGCTTCCTGGGTAGAATTACAGGTGTGAGCCTCCTCACCTGTCTATCATACCTTTTGTTGTTGTTGTTATTTTATTTTTTGTTTATTTAGGTTGGTTCTGGGGCTTGAACTCAGGGCCTGCATGCTGAGAATGACATTGCAGATTTATAGAATTTCAGACGAGGAAGGGAGCTTGTTGGTTCTAAACCACTCTTTAAGAAATGTGACCTAGCCAGGTGCTGGTCACTCAGGCCTGTCATCCTAGCTTCTCAGGAGGCTGAAAACTGAGGATCGATGTTCCAAGCCCCAGTGAACCACCAGAAAACCAGAAGTGGTGCTGTGGCTCAAGTGGTAGAATGCTCGCCTTGAGCTGAAGAGTTGAGGGACAGCGCCCAGACCCAGAGTTCAATACCTACGACAGACAGACAGACAGGCAGACAGACAGACACACACACACACACACACACACACAGAAATGTGACCTGGCCATTTTAAATAGTTTGTGTCTGAAACACAAGCTGTTTGAAAGAGGCCCAAGAAGCAGGAGACAGCAATTCAGCAGTCTGTAATTCTCTTTGGAATGTTTTATCCCTTACATGGGATATGCATTGTTTCACACAGAGGAAGTCAAGTGATGCCAGTTTTAAGTTTTAAGGTAAGATTTCAGTTATCCTTTAATTGTTTCCTTTTAACCAAAAAAAAAAAAGGTACATTTGGATTTTGGCACAATTCTTTTTTTTTTAATGAGGTGAACCTTATTTTCTCAGTGAAGTAATTTAGAGAAGCCGGGCAGCATTGTGAAGACGTTTCACTTTAAATTCCAATTTCACTACACTTTAACACAGCAGCCTTTACCAGGGACCCTAAGTGGATAACAAAAGCTGCTTACATACTGTAGAACATCTTGAGTCTTAGCATGCACTCAGACTGTCATCAAACCGCATTTGTTGTTCCTTCTCGCCCATCGGTATTTCTCTCATTGGAATGCCGTCTTCTTTGCAGCTGCTACTCTTTGACTACGACAAGGTGGAGCTGGCCAACATGAACCGCCTCTTCTTCCAGCCTCACCAGGCGGGGCTGAGCAAAGTGCAGGCAGCGGAGCATACCTTGAGGTAAGCAGACCTGCGGGGCAATCTATGGTGTGTGTGTGTGGTCTGAGTTAGCCTCCTGTGTTATCACTCTCGCGAGTCTTCTCTCTGCTCTAAAAATGGCAGATGTCGCTTGCGCCAGGAGTCCTCTTGGCTCTTAGGGCTCGGGCTGGCAGCGCTTGTGTACACCGAGCTGGGTCATGCACATTTCAGTGTTGGAGGCTCACAGGGTCTCTCTGGGGAGAGCCACAGGTGCATATCACCAGACAGCAGCCACGGGCAGCCCACAGAGGAATTAGCATATCTCTGCACCAGTGAAGCTTGATTTTGGACCCTGAAATTTGAGTTTCCTGCCATTTTATGGAATATTATTGTTCTGATTCTTTTTTTTTTTTTTTTTTTTGTCGCTTGTGGGGCTTGAACTCTGGGCCTGGGCGCTGTCCCTTAGCTCTTCAGCTCAAGGCAAGCACTCTACCACTTGAGCCAAAGCGCCACTTCTGTTTTCAGATGGTTCATTGGAGGTAAGAGTCTCACAGACATTCCTGCTCAGGCTGGCTTGGGACTGTGATCCTCAGATCTCAGCCTCTTGAGTAGTTAGGATGACAGGTGTGCGCCACTGGCGCCCAGTTAGAAGTACAAAAATTTTTTTTTTTTTTTTTTGTCCGTCATGGGGCTTGAACTCTGGGCCTGGGCGCTGTCCCTCAGCTCTTCAGCTCAAGGCGAGTGCTCTTCCACTTGAGCTACAGCGCCACTTCCGGTTTTTCTGGTGGTTTATTGGAGATAGGAGTCTCACGGTCTCTCCTGCCCGAGCTGGCTTTGAACCGCGATCCTCAGATCTCAGCCTCCTGAGTAGCTAGGATTACAGGCGTGAGCCACCAGCGCCCGGCAGAAGTACAAAATTTTTAACAGAAAAAGATAAGGACTTTGGATATCCTTCAAAAAACTTGAATTCTACTTTTTTTAAACAGAGATTACATAATCTTTAGTGCTTAAAACTATGTCCTGTTACTTTTTATTTATTTTGTGCTGGTCCTTGGGCGATCTCAGAACTTAGGTGCTGTCCCTGAGCAGCTTTTGCTTTAGGTTAGTGCTCTACCACTTAAGCCACACATCTGCTTTTGGCTTCTAAGAGTCTCACAGACTTTCCTGCCCTGGCTGGCTTCAAACAAGATTCTCAGCTCTCAGCCTCCTAAGTGACTAGGGTGACAGGCGTGACCCACCGGCATCCGGTTCTATTTGTTATTTTTTTTAATTATTGTGAAAATACCATACAGAGGGGTTACGAGTACATTTTTTATTATCAAGCATTGTTGCCTCCTCCTTTGTTTCCCCTTTCCATCCCTTCCCATCTCCCACCCACCTTCCCCTATCCCCCCTTCCCCCACCCCCCTCTATTTGGCATTATTTCTTGCTAGTTCTATAGGTAGACATTATAATCATCTCCCTTTTCTCTCTTAGGAACATTAATCCTGATGTTCTTTTTGAAGTCCATAACTACAATATTACCACAGTGGAAAACTTTCAACATTTCATGGACAGAATAAGGTAAAGATTTTATTTTTTTTGTTGGTCGTGGGGCTTGAACTCTGGGCCTGGGCGCTGTCCCTCAGCTCTTCAGCTCAAGGCAAGCGCTCTACCACTTGAGCCACAGCGCCACTTCCGGTTTGCTGGTGGTTCATTGGAGATAAGAGTCTCATGGGCACTTTCTTGCCGAGGCTGGCTTTGAACCGTGATCCTCAGATCTCAGCCTCCTGAGTAGCTAGGATGACAGGTGTGAGCCACCAGCACCCAGCTTCCTGATCTGTTTTTCAAATGAAGTTTGTTCTCTGTGAGCAGTGGTGGCGGCATGGAGGAAGGGAGGCCCGTGGACCTGGTGCTCAGCTGTGTGGACAACTTTGAAGCTCGGATGGCAATCAACACGGTGAGTGTTGCTGCAGAGCTCGCCCTGCCCCGCGCCACCTGGACCCCTTACAGGTCATCAGTGCGCGACCCCACACTGGACCCAGTGCTCAGCACAAATCCTGTTTGCTTTTCTAAAAAATGTTTGCCTGGCTGGGTGCTGGGCTCATGCCTGTCATCCTAGCTTCTCAGGAGGCTGAGATCTGAGGATCGTGATTCAAAGCCCAGCCTGGGCAGGAAACTCCATGAGACTCTTACCTCCAATGAACCACCAGAAAACTGGAAGTGGCGCTGTGGCTCAAGTGGTAGAGCGCTGGCCTTGAGCTGAAGAGCTGAGGGATGGTGCCCAGGCCCAGAGTTCACGCCCCCAGACCAACAAAAAATAAAAACATTTGCCCAACCTGGGACTTGAACTCACCTGGGCACTGTCCCTTTAGCTCAAGGATAGCGCTCTGTCATTTGAGCCACAGCTCTACTCTGGCAGCAGTGGCGGCGGCTGTTGCTGCTGCTGCTGTATCTTCTGCTGCTTCTTCCTCTCTTGCTTCTTCCGCTCTTGCTGCTTCTGCATCTTCTGCTGCTTCTTTTTCTTCTTTGTCCTTTCTTGTTTCTCTTAGTGGCTTATTTGATATAAGAGTCTCACAGACTTATCTGCCCGGGCTGGTTTTGAACCACAATCCTCAGATCTCAGCCTCCTGAGTAACTAGGATGACAGGCGTGAGCCCCCGCTTGGCCCTATTTGTTTTTAATGTTCTGTTAGCCTACTTTCAAATCTGTGGCAACAGCTGTGGGTCTCACTTCCCCTGCCGAGCTGTATTGCCATAGCCGGGACTTTTATGCCAAAGGAAAGCAGCGGGTGCTTCTGGCCTCATGGCTGTGAAGTGAACATGCGCTTTATCATACTTAACCCCTGCTCAGCTTTGGTTTTAACTTTTTATTGTGAGCGAATGAACAACATAAATATCGAGGAAAACCTTGTTTGTCTTAAAATATTTATAAAATTTTTTTCACACTTTTTTTTTTTGCTTTTCACTTCTTATGTGACATTCACCATTGTTGCTGCTGAAGTTCTAGAGAAACATTGGTTTTTGCATTAACCTGACAGGGAATGTCACACAGCTTGTGCTGATCGCCGAAAAAATGGATCGCCAATTGCTGTGCATTGTGAATCTTCCTTCCTCGTGCTCTTCTCCCTGCAGGCGTGCAATGAACTCGGACAGACCTGGATGGAGTCCGGGGTCAGCGAGAACGCAGTGTCGGGCCACATCCAGCTCATGGTTCCCGGGCAGTCCGCCTGCTTCGCGGTATGCGGCAGTGCTTGGGCGTGGAGGGGAATTGAACAATGAACTTGAGCTGTGGATGGTGGTTCACCGCTGTAGTCCCAGCTGCTCAGTTCACTGGGGTTGGGAGCGTTGTCACCTGCGAGACACAATGTCAGCCATACAGCCAGGCGGGAGTCAAGCCTATCATCCTGGTCATGATGGGAAACCACACATGGGAGAGGCAAAAAAAAGGGAGTCCCCAGCAGCTCAAAACAGGGCTGGGGACCTAACTCAAGTCTAGGGCACCTGCCTATCATGCATAAATCCCTGGGTTCAAACCCTGGTAATGCAAAAAGAAAAAGAAAAATACATGTGGGTCTGGTGGAATAGGACTTAGCACACATGCTATATTTCCCCGCTTTTGAAATTCTCGTGCTCTTATGCAGTGTGCTCCGCCACTCGTAGTTGCTGCAAACATGGATGAGAAGACGCTGAAGCGCGATGGCGTGTGCGCCGCCAGCCTCCCGACCACCATGGGGGTGGTGGCAGGTGTCCTGGTGCAGAACGTGCTCAAGTAAGTGTGGCCTGGCCCACACGTGGCTGTGTTTGTGTCTGGCAAACACGGAGTTAACCTCAGGACATATTACAACCGCCCGTGCTTAACTCAGTTGGCATTTTTATTAGGCTGTTAAAACTTCATGTTATATGAGTTTTTGACAGATGTGTATGGTAGTGTGTTTTTATTATAAATAGGTGTGTGTAGTTTTTATTTGCCTCTCATGGGTCTTGAACTCTGGGCCTGGGCGCTGTCCCTCAGCTCTTCAGCTCAAGGCAAGCGCTCTACCACTTGAGCCACAGCGCCACTTTTGGTTTTCTGGTGATTTATTGGAGATAAGAGTCTTGGACTTTCCTGCCTGGGCTGGCTTTGAACCACGATCCTCAGATCTCAGCCTCCTAAGTAGTTAGGATGATAGGCGTGAGCCACCAGCTCATACTTTTTATTTATGCATACACATCTGTTCATGCAGAAATGTTGAATGCGTTCACATTGCACGTGTAAACACGTGTGGCATGGGCACGGGTACACGGTCGTTTGGCACTGGTATTTTTGCATCACACATCGCTGGGCAGCCGGAGCACCTGTGCAGTGTTCATTTCTGTCACCTGTGTGGTTTGTTTCTCTAGGTTTCTGTTAAACTTTGGCACCATCAGCTTCTACCTGGGCTACAATGCGATGCAGGATTTCTTCCCCACGATGTCCATGAAGCCAAACCCCCAGTGCAACGACCGCAACTGCAGGAGGCGGCAGGAGGAGCATGAGGTACGCACGCCCCGCCCCCACCCCGGGCTTGCTCTGCCTCCATCAGCGATGGGAAAGAAAAGCACACACGCCTGCCATCCTAGCTACTCAGGAGGCTGAGATCTGAGGATCACGGTTCAAAGCCAGCCCGGGCAGGAACATCCCTGAGACTGTGGTCTCCAATAAACCACTAGAAAACCAGAAGTGGCACTGTGGCTCAAGTGGTAGAGCGATTGCCTTGAACAAAAGAGCTCAGGGACAGCGCCCAGGTCCAGAGTTCAGGCCTCATGACTGACAAAAACACAAAAAAGCACACTTGGGATCAAGATAAATGGGCTCAGGTTTTTTAAAATGAGTATTAGTTGAACAAGGGGTTTCATTGTGACGTTTCCACACATGAATACAACATATCCTGATCAACTTCACCCTCTGTAACTCTTTCCATCTTGCCCTCCCCGCTTTGTTTTTTCTTTCTGTGAACTCTGGGCCTGGGTGCTGTCCCTCAGCTCTTCAGCTCAAGGCAAGTACTCTACCACTTGAGCCACAGTGTCAATTCCAATTTTCTGAGTGGTTTATTGGGGGTAAGAGTCTCTTGGACTTTCCTGCCCAGGCTGGATTTGAACTGCCATCCTCAGATCTCAGCCTCTTAAGTAGCTAGGATGACAGGCATGAGCCACCAGTGCTTGGCTATTTAGTATATTTTTAAAGTCCTTTCTGGGTGTTGCGAAGATAGAGGACCTGGGTGAATCTCTCATGGTTCAGAGACGTGAGAAAGTGGAAACTGGCTCTGTTTGATTTTGCAGAGAAAGGCGGCTGAGCAGCACACACCGGAGGCCGGCCAGGGGGAGGAGGAGGAGGAGGAAGAGGTCGTGCACGAGGACAATGAGTGGGGTGGGTGTTCTTTGACACGTTGACGTTGTAGCTTCATGTCACATTTCCTGTGCTGTGAATAGAAGACCAATTGGGTGGTGACAGTGCCCGCCTTGGTGAAGGAGTTTCTTCCTGATCGTCCTTGCACAGGTATAGAGCTGGTGTCTGAGGTGTCGGAAGAGGAGCTGAGGAGGTCTTCAGGCCCCGTGCCCGACCTGCCCAAAGGCATCACAGTGGCATACACTCTCCCCACACAGGTGCTTGTCAAACCCGGGTTGCTCGAAAGTCAGTGGTGGGCAGGGAAAACGTGGGCTTGCCTTTTGCGTCTGCCTGTGATGTTGAAGAGTCAGTGTGGTGGGTATCTCACAACATCGGCTTTGAGAGAAAGGGGTGTTCAGTGTTAATGTGGGGGTTTTTGTTTGGCTCACTTGAAGTTCTTTGAAGACAGACATAAAATGCTTCTGTTTACTCAATGTCTAATTTTTTTTTTTTTAATCAGTCATGGGACTTGAACTCAGGGCCTGGGAGCCATCCCTGAACCTTTTTGTGCTCAAGGTGAGCACTCTACCACTTGAGCCACAGCGCCACTTCCAGTTTTCTGGTGGTGCATTGGAGATCAGAGTCTCCTGGACTTTCCTGCCCAGGCTGGCTTTGAACGGCGATCCTCAGATCTCAGCCTCCTGAGTAGCTAGGATGACAGGCGTGAGCCATAGTGTCCAACTGTATAATAAGTTTTTTGACTGAGGATTTTTCTTTTTTACATTGGTTATTTTAACTATGTTTTAAAACTATGCTGGTGGAAACACCTTTGTGAAGGCATGGGCAGGGGCCTTGGAGAAACCTCTCTTCTGCTAACAATTGCTGCGCATGTCTATGAGAGGAAAGCTGGCCTCCATCTCCTTGGATGTGGCTAGGGTTATTCTGCACAGGCCCTGAGCTCACACGTTCCCCTCTTCTGCGAACAGCATCAAGACCCTGCGCCTGGAGTAGCAGTGGAAGATTCTGGCGAGAGCTTGGAAGACCTCATGGCCAAGATGAAGAACCTGTAGCTGGTGGGCTGGCATGTAGTTCATTTTGTGCTTAAACTATTCCCTTGAAATGCAAAGAAAAAGAAAAAAAAAAGCTAATAAAACGTAGGGCGTACATCTGCACCGCACTGTTGTACTTGGTGAGGCTCCAGCGGCTGTTACTGTTTCCCTTGTGCACAGCGGGCCGCCTTCTGCCACGCATGACTTCGAGCTCTGTCTCTGGCGGGAGGAAAGGAGGAAACAGTCCACTACTATGACCTGGACCCACCGTGGCTTTTAAACAAGCCAACCAGTAAAATAGAAACTTCCAGTGTTTCCTGATGACAAAGCAGCCACATGGTGGCAGTGGGAAGGTTTCCAGACCCCTGAGCTCCATGTTTGCAAGGCAGGTGAAAGCTGGGGTTTCCCACAGGGAGGCACGCGTGGATCCCGCCCCACAGCGCGTGTGAATGCTGCTCATCCCATCCAGTGACCACCAGACGTGTTCATTCCCCGGAAGGATGTTTCCCTACTAAGTTGCAAACTCACATAAATGGGTTTTCTCCGGCGTCGCGTGTGAATGACGACGGCTGAGGGAGCTTTGCATGGATGGATGCAGAGCCAGCGGCTTCAAGAAAAACAAATAACACGCAGTGGTAGCTGCTGGGCTTGAACCCAAGGCCTTGCGCTTGCTTTGCTGCCACTCAGCCCTGCGAGCCACGCCTCCAGCCTCACTGTTTTGCATTAGTTTTGGAGCTGGAGTCTCAGACTTTTCTGCTTACCCTGGCTTAGAACCAGATCCCTCCAGTTCTCAGCCTGCTGAGTAGATGGGTTTTCTGTGTAGTAGGAAAATATGTCCTACAGATTTCTTCTCGTAAGGATCTCATAGGTATCATCCCATGACAGCTGTAAATGCGAGCCTATGCTGACGAGCAGTAACTTCATACTTACCAACGGAGCTGGGATTCCTCCCGTTACACTTTCAATTTCCTCTTTCCTTTCTGGAAGGCATTGACAGGGATTTGTTCGTTGTAACTCCAGTTGAGTTTAGGATTGAGGTGTCTGAGCCCCGCCTTTCTCCGTGTGAAGGGGTATTTTAATGAAAACCTAGTTTTCCGGTTGGAGGACCTGACACACAGGCACACATGGTGTCTGTTACAGCTGTCTCCATCAAGTATTCTAACTTGTATTCTAACAGTGCCTATCGCTAGCACAATAAACAAAACAATAATGTGACCAAATTATATACTGTACGTTTAATTCTTTTGAAATATATAGTAATCATCCCCCTCTCCCAACTAAAATTAAATTTTGCTATAGAGTCACTTTGAAGAACTATTAGCACCTTCTTCAAAGTTTTCTTAAGGTCAAGGTTTAGAGGAACAACATATATACATATAATATGTGTATATATATATATATATATATACTACATATATACTATACATACTATATATAGTATGTATATATGTATAATATATAATTATATATACATATACTGCATATACTAGATGTATGTATTAAACATATATATATGCATAATACATACAGTATACGTAATATATACACAATATATAATATGTATATAACACACATTATATAGGCCACTTGGTCCCGAGGAGATAGGGGACTTAGGATACTTTTGTACCCCACAGACAGGGTACTGTCAGACTGAGGAAACTGGCTTAGTTATAATGTATACTGTTATACTATGTATAATATATACTATATATTAATGCACAATGTATAATACATTGTATATATATTATACATAATATGCACTTATTATAATAGAGATATTATTCTTAGGCTTTTCCCCAGGTTCTTCTTGAGTGTGCAGATTGAACTGTTTTTCTTTTAATGTGATACACTTGTTAATTTATAGCATTAAATGATGCCACCAAGACCTACTGTAAACCATCACAACAGCCACAAAACCAGTGTCTCCTGTACGTGGGGACCCAGTTATCTGCACCTTTGGTAGGTAGCAGACTCCGAGATGTTACGTTTCTATTTGATCTTCTTTGCTCTCTAAGCCTTTTTTTATTTTTTTGTCTGTTGTGGGGCTTGAACTCTGAGCCTGGGTGCTGTCCCTCAGCTCTTCAGCTCTACCACTTGAGCCACAGCACCACTTCCAGTTTTCTGAGTGGTTCATTGGAGATAAGAGTCTCACGGACTTTCCTGCCTGGGCTGGCTTTAAACCGTGATCCTCAGATCTCAGCCTCCTGAGTAGCTAGGATGACAGGCGTGAGCCGTGGGCACCCAGCACCCTGTTTCTTGTAACATGTCAGTGACTGAAGCATGGGCCCATGAGTGCTCCGGAGCGGCCTGGCTGAAGCGCAGATTCTCACTGGGGATGTCCCAGGCCTGAGAACTTGCTACATGTGTTCCTAGCCCAGCCGGAGGAGCGGGGCCTCGGGGCCAAGCACCGAGAGACAGACACTCCATGAGCACCCACGGTGTTCCAGTCTTCGAGAAAACCGCTCAGCAACGTCTTCCTCTAGTCATTATGCAGAAGGTAATCCTCGTTTATAGAGAAAGGAAAGAGAACTTGAATCAGTTTGCACTTTGGTGTTCTAGCCGTGAAGTATGGGGTGGTAGGTTTTGTTTTTTACACTTTTCACACCTTTAGTAGACTCAGTATTAAAATGGATGACTTTGTATAGATGCACAAATGATGACAAAGCCAGCAATACCCCAAACATTATTCATCAAGTCTATAAAGATACTGAGTGTTTGGCATCAAAAGGGCAGACTGCTTTGAGTTGGTGGTGAGCGGTGACACCGCTGGGTGAAGGCCATTTGGGAGGATGGTGCACGGGGATGGTGGAGAACACGGAGCCTGGCGCGTGGCTGCTGTCGCTTCCCACGGAGCACAGAGACACGCGCACAAAGCCCGGCGCCGCGACTCGCCGAGGGAGAAGCTCGAGTAATAATAAAAGCACAATGTCGCAGTGAGGACTTCCTGTTCCACTGGAGAGCAATCCCAACCACTTCTGGACAGCATGCCTTTAGTCCCGGACACTTTCACATGATGAGTTAGAGACCTAGTCTACAACAGCCATGAGGACGCAAAGGTGGGGCATGGCTGGAGAGGCTGCATTGGTCCCGAGAGGAAAAGACAAGTCCTTGAGCCCTGTGCGCTCCCGCTGTGCCTGCTCTTCCCATACAGACAGACAGACAGACAACACTCCCCGGCGTGGCTCACACGAACGCGCCGGCAGACTCCAGTAATGCCGTTAGTGCAGCCCATCTGACACAGTGTAGTCTGGTACCAACTCCGTCTGAATGGCCTTTAAATCATACTTGGTAAAAATCAAAACAGGAAGGCTTAAAATCCAAATGCTTATTTTGCCCAGTTGCACAGCGTTGTCCTTGAGGAGGGAAAGCAGGAAAATGAAGTTTTTTGTGTTTTTTGAAGTGGGGTGGGCAGCAGTGGGGTCTGAACTCAGGGCCTCGCCCCCGACCACAGGCCCGTGCTCCAGCACTTTCTGCTTTCACTGTTTTTCAAGTAGGGTCTCACTTCTTATCTGGGCCGGCCCAGACTGCAGAACTCCTATTTATGGTTCCTTTGGAGACTTAGCACCACAGTGCCTGGCTTGTCTTTGGTTGTGATGAGCTCACTGGGACTTCTCTGTTCACACGCCTTGAGTCTTGATCCTCTCCACTTCAGCCTCCAGGGAGGCTGGGATTACAGGTGTGAGCCGCCTTGCCCAGCCGAGTGCGTGGTTTTTAGACTGACTGTGTCTCCACTTGACGAGTGTCTCGAAGGAGCTTTTCCACCCAACAGCGATGTTTCTGACTCTTTGATTTCCATTGCTCTTTTGTACAGTTCTGCAGCTTTTTCAAAATCTCCTTCCTCGTAACTTTTGAGATAAACATGAGAACACTTTTAAACACTTTTAAATGAGTTTATGGGATAATAAAAAAAAAGTTGTGAATACCTATGCGCACCGTCCCCCCCCCTTTTCTTTTTCTAGTATATTCACTCAGATCATGTCTAGCACACAGTCCCTCGGCAGGTACTGACCAGTGAGCCAACCCGATGGGCACCAAATGGCCACTGTGGGTGGCAAGTAGACCTGCCTGCTGGCTGCTGGCCGCCAGGATACCCTCCCTTCTTGCAACCTGCGTCTCCTTCTGGGTGTCTTAAATGGAGACCACTGCCAACCAGCCTTCCCCTCTATGGAAGAAGCCACTCGTAGGAACGTGCTGTGCTGTCCTACGGTGAGCGGGGGAGTGTGTGTGTGTGTGGGGGGGGGGAAGGTGCGTGACCTCACCTGAGCACAGCTAGGTTTTTTAGAGTTTCTCCGACTCGAGGATGCATCTGCCCCAGGCTGGCTTCATAGATCTTCAAGGCTTGTTCATATAAGGGCAAGGCCTCTGTGGGCTTTTTCTTATTTAAAATAATTTTAAAAAACAAAGTGATAGTGCAATCACTATTTTGGTAAGCATTTTAAAGACGTGAATATTCTAAGAAGATAGGAAAGAACGGCATGACTTGGGGAGAGCCTCCAGGGGAGAGGCAGTGTGATGGAAGTTGGCATTTGACACCTGGCCCGTCCCCTTTGACTTTCGCGCAACAGTATTCATTAGAAGTCTGCGTCTTTATTGCTGGGTGGGCGCCACAGGCAGAAGCCGCCAGCTCCTTCCACACACGGACGCAGCAATCTCCAGAACTGAAAAAACACGAAGCCTGTCTCCGAACTGAACACTCCGTTGGTGTTTTCAACGTTCAGAAAGGGGTGATCTTACAAATACCATTTCACTCGTGGCTTAAGTATTATAAAAAGAAGTATCAGTAGATAAACAGTAGTCCTAAATTGTCTTTATTTTTACTCAGCCATTGTCCGATTTTTTATGTTGTTGTTTTGGTTGTGGGGCTTGAACTCAGGGCCTGGGCGCTGTCCCTCAGCTCTTGAGCTCAAGGCCAGCACTCTACCACTTGAGCCACAGCGCCACTTCCAGCTTTTTTCTTTTTGCTTATGTGGTGCTGAGGAATCGAACCCAGGGCCTCAGGCATCCAAGGCAAGCGCTCTACCACTGAGCCACCTTCCCAGCCCCTGTTTTTTTTTAATTATTATTAATATGTTAAAAATCTTTCATTTATAAAGAGCCGAGCTGTAGAAAGTTGATCGGACATGGCTGTTCACGACCCCAGTCCCTCGAGAGGAGGATTGAAGTCTGAGGCCAGCCTGGGTAAAAAGTGTGAGCCCCTCTCTGAAAACAATACAATATGAAAAGGGTAAGAGATTTTAAAAAAATAGTATGTGGCAGGGAGTGGGGAGATGGTGGCAGGGGGTCTGAAGGTTTGGCTCAAGTGTTAAAGAGTGCCGTCTCCTAAGCTCAAGGCCCTGGTACCACTGAGAACAAAGTAGTTAAACTTACCATCTGGCTATAAAGCACTGCTAAGTTCACCAAGGCAGTGGCTACGCTAGGATGCTTTGAGCCAAAGGATTTCTGACGAATTTCGACGGCCAGTTCATACAGAGGGACGGCTTTGTTAAGTTTTCCCTAAAAAAAAAATTATATATATATATTTCTAGTGAAAACAGTTAAGACAATAAATACTAGTCGATCAGAACAGCCCCATACATAGAATCGGTCATCAGGGGGTTGAGGCAGAAGGATTGTGATTCTGGGGCCTGGGCTACATAGAAGACCTTGTCTTAAAAAAGAAAACCATTTGCTGTAGTATCATGCGGACTAACATCGGAACAATGCAGAGAAGTTTAGTATGGCCCCTGTGTGGGAATGACCTGCACATCTGTGAAGTGTTCTAGATTGTGAAAAACTAGGAGAGAGTGAGGGAAGGGGTGATGCTGTCCAAAGAGAAATGTACTTTTTTGTGGGGCTTGAACTCTGGGCCTGGACACTATCCCTGAGACTATTTGTGCTTTAGGCTAGCACTCTACCACTTGAGCCACAGAGCCATTTCCAGTTTTCTGGTGGTTCACTGGAGATAAGAGTCTCACAGACTTTCCTTGCTCAGGCTGGCTTTGAACCTCGATCCTCAGATCTCAGCCTCCTGAGTAATTAGGATGACAGGTGTGAGCCGTGGCGCCGGGCTTACCATTTTCTTATACAAGATTGCTAGATGCTTCGCTGTGTAGGCCAGAGATGGGTGGTCAGGAGCGAGCGCCCGCCGCCGCAGCTCCAGTGCCCTCTCGTACAGCTCTGCTGCCTTGTCGTACTGTTTCTTTTCATTGCAGATCGCCGCCAGGTTGTTGAGCGACTGGGCACAGTCGGGGTGCTCGGGCCCTAGGACCTGCTCCCTCATTTCTAAGGAGCGCCTCAGAAACTGCTCAGCTGTGCTAGGAGCAAAACCCAAAAGAGCTTCAGCAACTGATTCTCTAGCGATCGGAGACCTCTGGCGCCTTAACGATGTACAACATGGAATCAGTTTCATTTGTTGATTTTGTTTTTGGAGGGGGGGAGGTAGGGGGAAGTAGTAGAGATTTGAACCCAGAGTCTCAGGCTTGTTCAGTAAGTGCTGCTTCTACTTGATCCACGGCTCCAGCCAAGGATTTGTGCACCCTGCTGCACTTGTAAAGACAAACCCACAGGCTGCTTGCGAAACAACCCTCATGGCAACCAGACCTCATTTACTCACAGACTGACAACGCACTGCATTTTTGGGAAGTTCTTCATTTGTTTGTTCTTTGACATCCAAAGAAGCCTAAATAAATACCTATTATGTGTTCAGACAACATCCATACTTTTTTCTTTCTTTTGTCAGTCATGGGGCCTGGGCACTGTCCCTCAGCTCTTCAGCTCAAGGCAAGCGCTCTACCACTTGAGCCACAGCGCCACTTCCAGCTTTTTCTGCTTATGTGGTGCTGAGGAATCAAACCCAGGGCTTCATGCATGCGAGGCAAGCACTGTACCATTAAGCCACCTTCCCAGCCCCAACATCCATATTTTTAATTTGGAAATCTAAATAAAACCAGATTGCCTGCTTTATATCCTAGGTAAACTGCGGCTCACAGCTGCAGCTACCTCCATTGTTAGTTTGTTCTCCTGTGAGCTCTCATCACTAAGGTATGGATGAGTGACCCAGTGCACTTCTGGCTCTAGACTCTTCAGCCTGAAGAGTACTTAGTTTGACTGGGTACTGGACACATTAGTTGTGAGCAGCGAGGTACTCACCCCAGGTTGTTCTGCAGATAGTAGAGGACGCCCAGCTCATTGAGGGTGCGAGCACTGTCAGGCGTGTCCTTGCCCAGAGTGAGCTCTTCTAACTGCAAGGCCCGTCGCCGCAAGAGGGCAAATGCACGCTGCAGCCAACAGAGGAAACACGGAAGCACTAGGCGCCGCACCTGACTCATGAGCCACAGACCAGCAGCGACCTAAGAGCTCTCCCACTGCTCGCTTTTGTCTAGAGGACAGCTAACTTTAAGTAGTATAGCAAGTCTATTAAGAATATATCAGAGGGGGGTGCTGAGAAGCTGGCTCAGTGGTAGAGTGCTTGTCTCTCATGCGTTGAGGCCCTGGGTTCGATTCCTCAGCATCCCATAAACAGAAAAAACTGCAAATAGCACTGGGGCTCAAGTGGTAGAGTGCTCGCCTTGAGCTGAAGAGCTGAGGGACAGCGCCAAGGCCCAGAGTTCAAGCCCCACGACCAACCAAAACAAAACAAAACATAGTCTCAAATTTATCTATTCCATTTATCTATTCTATTTTGTTAGTACACAGCACAATGTACTTCAAAAGAGATGAGGAGAACATGTCATCCTAGCCACTCAGGAGGCTGAGATTTGAGGATCACAGTTCAAACAAAGCCAGCCCAGGCAGGAAAGTCTGTGAGACTCTCATCTCCAATGAACCAGCAGAAAACTGGAAGTGGTGCTGTGGCTCAAGTGGTACAGTGGTCATCTTGAGCTGAAGAGCTGAGGGACAGCATCCAGGCCCAGAGTTCAAGCCCCATG